CAACAGCAGGCTACAAGCAACGAAGGCAGCAAGCAGCAGCAACAGCGGTCCAGCACCAATGGACATAGGCGGCACATGGTGGAAAGGCGGCAAAGGAAAAGGACAACGCAACAAAGGAAAAGGAAAAGGCGACAACAACAAAGGTAAAGGCTACGGCGGCTACGGCCAACAGCAACAGAAAGGCAATGGATACAACAAAGGAAAAGGAAAAGGAAAGAACAAACAGCCCATAGGACAAGGCAACCCATTCAAAGGCAACGGCAAACCAACTTACGGCTACAACAACTGGAAGGGCTACGGCAACTACGGCAAGAGCAAAGGAAAAGGCAAAGGAAAAGCAGCCAACAACGTATGCTACAGACGCGGACAAGCAGGCCACATAGCAAAGCACTGCAGAGTGACAATCTACAACGTCGACGGCGGAGCACAAGAAACAGCAGACCCAACAGTCAACTGGTACTCGGAGCAACAGCAATACTGGTGGAACGCAGATCTCACAGCACAGTATCCACAACAGACACAGCAGCTGGCTCTTCCAGCACCTCAGCAAGGGACAACAGACTTTTGCAACACACCGCTAGTGGTCTCCGGCTTGGTGGGGACAGTGAACAACAACAACGAGATCAACAACGACGGCTACAACAAGCTCGTGCTCGACAGCGGTGCAGCAACACACGTTTGCCCACACTGGTTTGGACAGGAGTTTCCCCTTCAACATCTTGACCAACACAGCGGACCACGGCTTCGAACAGTCACCAACCAGGAAATCAACGTCTACGGGTACAGGTGGATCAAGTTCGTCAACGAGCAGAATCAACCCATCGTCATCCCCTTCTACGTGTGCGACGTGGAACAACCAATCGTGTCGGTGACACGGCTCATCGACCAGGGCTTCAACGTCAACTTCAACGAGAACCCGACGATACACCACGACAAAGGTTTCGACAGTCATCTTCAACGTCTTCACGGACTCTTCTACCTCAACGTGGTCATCGACCCACTACCAGCAGGTACACAACTTGAGATCAAAGACACACCAACAGGACGCAAAGCAGTTATAGCACCAACAACATTGACTCCAACTCAACAACGAAGGATTCCTCGTAAGAGTCCACAAGCGTCTTCGCAAGGCGCTCTTCACACCTGACAACACCGGATGCCCGGTTCCAACAGAGCAACTCGACAACTTTCGACGCACAGTTGTCAAGCGAGCAGATGGACAACATCAAGACATCACAGGTGCATACAAGAATCTCACAAGGAAAGAGCAGCACAGGGTCCTTCCAGGAACAGCCTGGGCAGGAGAAACATGGTTCAAAGTCAACAGGGGGTCATCCGCCGAGGTGACTCAAGAAAGCAACGCACCAAGTGTGTCACGCAAGCCAGTCACCAGACACACAACAAAGAAGCCAGCGCAACAACCAGCAACACAGCAACAGCCGGCGGCGCAGCAATCGGCGGCAAATGCAACAACAGCATGGCCAATTGGCCAGGGATACATCCCACATCCAGCAGATGTACAACCAACAAGCGACTACTGGATCCGAGAGGGACACCTCTGGAAACGGGTTCACATCCAACCGCGCACAACATGCACTATACGTGCCAGAACGCACAACAGACGGACCGAACGTCGACAACTTACTCCCAGCACGACGAACACGGATCATCCCAACAAAGCAAGATCAAACAGGCCCAACTGTGCACGAAGACAACTGGCAAGCAGCCGGAAATCAGCAAACCAACACCGAATGGACGGACTCAACCAACTTCGAGGAGAAGGTGGAGTACAAGGAGCAACTTGACAGCGATGATGACGAACAACAAGAAGCACAAAGAGCCCAAAGGAGTCAAGGCACCTGAGCAACCAACACAGCAACAGATTCGGGAACACAACCTAACACATCTCCCGTACCGCAACTGGTGCCCAATCTGCGTCAAAAGCAGAGGGAAAGCAGACAGCCACAAGAATCAAACAAGCAAGCAGCCAGTGATACAGATCGATTTCTGCTACATTAAAGGAATCGACGACCAACAAACAACACCAATCCTCACAGCAATAGACATACAGACAGGGATGACCAGCGCAACTCTGGTCACTGACAAGCAACAGCTCTTCGAATACGCAACAAACCAACTGCTGGCATTCCTGATGGAGTGCGGTAGAACACAAGCAGTTCTACAGTCCGATCAGGAAGACTACCTGATCGCGCTGCTTCAAGCAGTGGCCAACAAAGCAGGCAACAACATAGCAGCGCGACACTCTCCAGCATACAGCCCCAAGTCACAAGGAACAATTGAGCGCTCACACAGAACACTCGTTGGGCAGATCAGAACAATCAGAGCACAGATCCAACAAAACTATGGCCGGATGGTCCCAAGGATCCACTGATGCCATGGATCGTAAGGCGCAGCGCGTATCTACTCAACAGGTGCGCAATCCACAGCAACGGCAACACCAGCCACTTCAACAGATGGGGCAGAGAAAGCCACACACCCATCTGCGAATTCGGTGAAACAGTGCAATACATGGTGTCAACAACCAGACAAATGCCAAAGCTCGAACCACGGTTCTTCGACAGCGTCTGGCTCGGCCAGGACTCAACAACAGGCGAGTCGCTGATAGGCATTCACCAACAGGTGGTCAGAGCAAGAAAAATCAGACGACAGATCGAACCACACAAGTACAACAAGCAGCTACTGGACGTGGTCAACGCACCACCATGGCGGACACCAAAGTCAGCAACACCACCGCTGAACGCAAGCACCACAATCGCCATTCCAGTACCAATAAAGCAGCAGCGACAACCAGGAACAAGCGCAGCAACACAGACTGGAGACAACAAGCGAGCAGCCAACACCGGAGCAGAAACACCAGCAAAGGCGGCTCGCAACGACAGCGGACCAAGCGCAACAGCTCCAATGGCAACTTCTCCCACGCACATCAAGAGAACACCTCTTCCCACACCAACACGGGAGAGGTCTGACGCAGTCGAAGAAGGAAGCACAAGCAAACAACAACGAACGTCAGAGTCAACGCAGCAGATAGAACGACCAACAAGCAGTGAGCAGCCAACACACAGGATGAGGATCAACGCTGTCACAGTCGCAATCAAATCAGGCGACACCATAACAACAGCATCCTGCGAGGACCAACAAGAAGTGCAAAATGAAAAGATCCTTCTGGAACCAATAGTGACCAACACTGAAGGTCTCGACCGAAAGAAGGTGATCGACGGCATGAAGAAGGAGATCCGACAGATGAAGCAACAGAACGTCTATACTGAAATTGATGAGTCAACACTCACACCAGAGCAACGCAGCAACATTGTAGAGCCCCGATGGGTTCTACGAACAAAAGGCGACGAAGTCAGAGCAAGAATCGTCGCCAAAGGATACACAGAGAGCATCAACGACTTGGACGACGTCTACGCATCAACACCACTCTTCTGCACTCTTCGCACCTTGCTCACTCTAGCACTCGGAAAAGGGTGGTCAACACGACTCGGCGACATATCAGCAGCATTCCTACATGCAGCAGCAGCAAAGGAAGACATCATCATGAGACCACCACCAGAGTTCTACGATGAGAACAACAGGCACATTCTCTGGAAGATCAACAAAGCACTCTACGGACTTAGATCCTCACCAAAAGCATGGCAGGATCACCTAGCAACACTCCTCACCACAACAATGGGAATGACACGACTCAAGTCCGAGCCCAACGTGTACCGCAACAAGGAAGGAACAGCCTACATCATGATATACGTCGACGACCTTTTCTTCCTCGGCGATCAACAGATCATCGACAAGCTCTTCAGCGACCTACAACAGCATCTCCAGGAGTGCTAACACCAGGATCAACGGTGTCGTTTCTTGGCAGAAAAATCACCACAACGGCGACAGCATCGACATCGCTCTATCCGAGGACTACATCAACAACATCCTGGAGGAGTCCAACATGGTCAACTGCAACCCAGCAGCAACACCTGGCACAACAGCATTGAAGACAATCAACATCGAGGACGACGCACCACTCGACCAACAACAACATGCACGATACAGGCGACTGGTCGGAAAGATTCAATGGCTTTCCTACACACGACCAGACATCAGCTTTGCAACAAAAGAGTTAGCACGGGCATTGCAGCAACCAACAGCAAACGACGACAAGAAGCTCGACAAGATGCCCCTGGACAGCGAAGTCTACACAGATGCCAACTGGGCATCATGCGAAACCACACGCAAGAGCACAACGGGATTCTCAATCCATTTCCTTGGAGCCAACATCCATTTTGGAAGCAGAACGCAGGCAACAGTAGCACTGTCATCAGCAGAATCAGAACTTTACGCCATAGGAACAGCAGCAACAGAGGCACTGCACATCCGCAACTTCCTGAGCGAAGCATTCACAACACGCAAAATCAACATACGCATACACACAGACAGCTCCAGCGCAAAGAGCATCGCGATCCGACAGGGATCATCAAAGAAAGCCAAACACATCGAGCTGCAGTACCTCTTCATTCAACGCCTTGTGCAGGAAGGCATAATCAGCGTGCTCAAGATCAGAACCGACAACAACCATTCGGACATCTTCACCAAGTACATCACCTCAGAGGTTCTCAACAGACACCTCTACCGGGTTGGTCTTCCTGGCCATCCCACAGAACGACTCTAAAACAGCAGCACACGAACAGTTTCACCAGCATATCACCAGCAACAGCTGGTGTGCACACATGTAGGGCCCAGTATCACGACACAGTGTCACCCGCACAGTAATGTATAGTAACAGCACAGAGTAACAACAGTAACGACAAGTAGTATCACCACGCACGTTCACGTGTGTCGGCGGCTTCTTTTGTCAACAACTAGCAACTATAGCGGTTGGCTTGAAACGTTTCTTTTTTCCTTTTTTGAGCGCCTGATGTGTGTCTACTCGCGCAGCGCTCATATCTGCTCTGAAAGGACCTCTCAGTGTTGCACAGCACTGCACAGCCATGGCCATGTCCAAGGCGACACAGACCAATGGTCATGAGATCTACGGATCAAGGCCAACTGTTTACTCTGGCATGGAACTCGTCAACGAGTGGCACTTCACCTTGGCGGCTTTGCAGGGCACAACCCCCTTTCCTGACGGCATCAACACTCGAGGTGAAGCATGGGCTCACTTGGTGTGCACGGAGGAAGAGTTCAACTCTTTGCAGAGTGACTCTCAGATCACCTTCCTAAGGGCTGACTTCAGGATGCCTGCGTGGGATAAGGCAATCCTGTCGTTGAACCCCAGCGATGGTATCAACGTCATGTCTTATCACTTGACAGAGTTGCACACTGCAACGCGGCGCCCCAACGTGTGGATCCTGCTATCATTCCAGATCGACTTCGCCCATCTCGCAAATATGCAATCATATGATCAGGTTCGCATGTTCAACCGAGGCTTCAGCTCTATTTACATGCAGCTGGAGGGGAGCAGCATCTGGAAGTTCACGCCGTTCGAGCTTGCCCACCTCAACGCGTGGAGCATCACCAGGTCTGATGGTCAGTCCAACTTGGACTCCATCATCAACAGGGCAACATGGGCGAATGGCTATCTGTGGTCCTTCAGCGTGCCGATCAACATGAACCAGATCTTCATCAACGGGAGCATGGACCATCTGTCACAGGATGAGAAGTGCCGAGTTGTGAAGTTGATCGCGCAGGCTCTTGAGTACACAGGCATGCAGTGCTTGGTGGGCCATCCGCATTACCGCCACATCATCATGGTGGCCATCGATCAGCGTGCCCGCATTGCAGCACATGGCTGCAAGGATGAGGAGCGGCTTCGTGGCTCGTCTCGCCTCGCAAGCTACATCCAGAGTCAGAGCACAGAGGACATGGTGAGCCAGATTTTCGCGGCTGTCAACCAGTGGCGTGAGCTTCACTGGATCGAGGAGATCGCATAAATCCAAGACCTGGATGTGTCGACGCCCTGCAAGTATGCTTGTGTGATAGTTTGGTGTAGACAAACAACTGGTGTGGAGTCACGCTCGATGTTTCCACATGAGTTTTTGTCGGAGTCAACCTCCAAGTGTATCAATACAATTGTACAGTCTTTTGCAACGTGTTGACATGAGGTCAACAAGTTGAGCAGGGGTGTTAAGACACATTGAATCACATGCTGTACACGCAGCAACCGCCATTGCCTTTCTGGGCTCGACAGGGCCCTTGAGCTAGACCGATATCAACAGCTCATGGACAAAGAGTGCCGCTGCTGACCGACTTGACGATCAACAGAGTTGACAACACGACTTGCGCTTTTACATCTCTCTCTGGCTCTCTCTCTCTCTCTCGCTCTCGCTCTGCATCCAGAAGTGGTGGCCACAAGAACAGCACAACGGCCCGGCTTTGGAGAAACACTTCAAATGGCCGGCTCAAAACGGTGGTTGCTTTCTTCCTTGGCGTCTCTGACCTGCCTGTCCTGCAGATTCAGAACCAACCCCTCTTCTTCGGTTCCATGCTGGCTTGCACGGAAGCATGGGTATATATATATATATATTATATATATATATTATATATATATATATATATATTATATATATATATATGTATATATCCCCTTCTCTGTCCCTCCTTGCCTTGAACGTGGCTTCGGCACCAGGGGAACCACAAGTTCATAACGGCATCGCTCGCTGCAGTAATATCAAACTGGACGAAGTGTACATAGCCTCAGACGCCAGAAGCCCAATGCGACTCAAAACGCTTGCGCAAAAACCCGCACAAAGCATGCAACGGCCCCAAGCAAAAGATCCCCCGCCAAAAACTGGCATGGAACACAAACCTATTTAGCTGTGGGTCAAAAATAGGTATCCAAACTGGGTTACCCTGGTAAATCGACACATGGACAAAAACCAGCGGTCCAATTCCTGGTGGCTTCATTTTGACCCATACCCAACATATTAATCGGGGAGAGTTTCCTCTTGGCACACAAAGTGAGATGCGCGTGTCCAGAGAGCGGGAAAAGCCCAAAGCTTGAGAAACGTCCAGAGACCTCTTACAACACTTGCTGTTGACCCTGCAAAGAGTTGCCTGGAGTCTCCATGACCCGAAATAAAAATGGGTCCATGACCCCATGATTTTGGGTAATGACCCCACTTTCAATGGTCATGGAGACTCCAGGTAAACCTTTCGGGGCTCCACTGGCTGTTTCTTAAAAAGCCAAAGTCCCAAGATCCAACCAAATCGCCGGTTTTAGAGAAGACATGCAGCCAGGCAGCGGTCTAAGAACCGAGCAGGGGCAAAGATTTCGGGCCAGTCGGCCTTGCCCTCCTTGATATTGGCGATGATCCTATCGCACGCGCATAAGCGCATATGTTCCGCGTGAGAATCACCCCAGAGAGCACCTGGTGGACTTGGGAACAGGCGATGGGACATGATCCAGGAGCTCACTGTGCTGGACTAGCGAATAGAAGATTAATCTTCAAAACCATTCTTTTTAATTGGTCAGAAATGTTTCAGCAACTCCGGAGACCCCGAAAGCAGTTCCAGACGTTTGAGTCCGGTCATTTCAGTCGACCGGGCAGGAAGTCCAAAGGACATACCCTCTCTCCCACTGACATAGGGCTGTGGGTCAAAACCAATGATACCATTTTGGGGTAGGTGCACCACCCATTTTAGTCTATTGTAGTGGGGATTGGGATGTTCACTGGGGGTTCGGAATTGGTTTTGACCCATGGCCATAGCATCTCACAGAGAGTCGCTTCAAGAGGATCTTCCAGGCATCCTCCAGGTGCTATGTTAGTGGGAGGGAGGGTACATCAAACAGCAGGTTAATCCGCATTTTGGGGATCACGCACTAAGCTCAGGCGATATCCCCAACAACATGCAGTGCTCTTTTTAGTGCTCGCACCACCTCACAGCCCTCGCAGAACCTTGGTGGAACCTTGGTGGAACCCGGTGGAACCCTGGTGAAACCCTGGTAAAAGGTGGAACCCTCGTGGAACCGGCTGCCCGGAGCCTATCTGGGCTGAGACCCCAAAGGTTTTCAGCTGTTGGGAAAAAAAAACAAGACCACGCACCTGCCTCCAAAAAAAGATCGTTCTTTGGGCGTGGCCTAATGTTCAAAGGCAACGAATCGTAAGACTACCCGATTCACCTGGCGCCAAGATTTGGTGAGCAAAAGTTATCTTGCGACGACTCGAGTTTTCGAGGTGACGCTCATGGTAACTGGTACCTCAGCAAAATTCATATGCGTGCTAAACAAGGGGGCGCTTTGAAGCCAGGTTGACATTGAAGGCAAGGCCTGTGCGCGCTTGTTTTGGAGAATCTCAGAATGGTAGGTTCTGTCAAAACTAAACGAGCAGTTAGAACATGTAGTAAGCCTCAGCGTAAGCCTCAGCCTCCTGTTTTTTTTTGGAAATTTGGTGAGTCGCCATGTTCTTGACAACTCAATAGGCTACTTGAAGTCTTGATCGGACCTGCGAATCTGCCTGAGAGTATAGCTATAGGTGACCTTTTGGCAAAATGCATGACCCTGAATGGAACTTGTAAAACCCATCGACTTCCAAACCTATGGAACCCATTGATTTTCAGTGGATCCGTTGGAACTCTTTGGATGTCCAAAACCTTCCAAAAGCGGCATTCTTACCAGGGAAAGCAATGAAAAATCAAACCAGCAACCATATCCTCGCACTTCGAGTTTTGTTCGCGCAAGTGGCAGCTCAAATCGCTTCTCCAATAGGCTTGCCCAACTTGCGGAATGCAGCAAATGAGCCAAATGAGCGTGGGACACCGACAATAAAAAAGACGCGATTCTTTGGAGAAGGGATTTCAGGGCCAGGGCACTTTCATTGCCGAGTTGCAATCCTGGTTCCCCCTTGCTTGTGCCCGTGTGTGTGTGTGTGTGTGTGTGTGGGCAGCTGTTTGTTTTTGCTCTCGATTTGGACTGAAGCAAAAGGAGCAAATGCTAACCACCAATCAGAACCGAGGGTCATTGAAGGGGGCTTCCAAAAGTGCAATGTGGGGACACATCCTGACCAATCCTTGCTTCAAGGTCTTCGAGCAACAAACATCTGAACTTGTGCATTTTCCGGTTACAAAAAATCCCGTTCACTTGCCCACTTTGAAAAGGGACTCAGAAAAAAAAACCAAAGAAAGTGGGAAAACTGGGCGGCCAGCGTGCGACTGAACCGGGTGGGTCTGAATCTTTTTTGGTGGAGCCTTTGGTGGACATTCTCCACATGTTTGAATTCATGGTAGGTGTGCTTTTTCGAAGTTGGTGCCCTTTCTGGTGCGGTTTGAGAGGGAAACCACAATCAAAACCGGCAATTGTTGTTTGAGGGCGACACGCCTATTTTCACACATACCCATGTACCTGCAAAATCCTACCGGAGTACTTCGACCAACTTTGTGCATGTCTGGTTTGTTTCCGTCTTGGAAAAAACGATTCCCCATATCTACCCGCGCACAAACTTCAAACCAGCGGGGCTTGAAAACGGTGATCCTTGAAAAAGCACTTCTCAAAACGTAAGGCAAAAGGGGGCACAGGTCGGGGGTCACTTAGAAAAGACACTTCGCAAAACAAGGGAGAAATTGAAAAGGGGGCACTAACTTACCTGTGGTGCTTGAAAGTTCAAACCGCGGGAAAACGGCAACTCTTGTTTCAAAGCTTCTCAAAAAAATAAAGCAACAACGGGGTAACGGAGGTCGATGGGGTCAATCGTTGCTTCGTATCTCGCAATTCGAACAATGAATCGCAAAGCGGTAGATCTCCTGCTGCCACGACGGAACTCCTGGCGTCATCAGGGCCCAAAAGCCAACTGAGCAGTCGTTTTCACATGGAACCGGAAACAAACAAAACACAACTCCTCACTTCATACACCCCTTCGCATGGAACCCGACCTTTCTCGTCACTTTTGAACAAGGAACAACTCCTCTTTTTGGAGACCTAGATGTCACTATGCAGGGGAGCAATCCCTCAAAAAGATCCGCATACTGTGTCCCTTGGTGTTTGATTGTGGCCCACCTGCAACACGGGAGGGGTGCACAAACTGTTCAACTTCCCAGTTACCAGTTGGATGCTTGGGGGTTGGCCGGGAAAGAATCAGGGATAATCCCCAAACCGCCAGTCCACCAATCGAGGGCAACCTGACCTTGACCCGAAGATGTCATCGTACGCGAGCTCCTGCGTTCCCTCGAAATGCCTCGGAAAGAAATGGAAACGTACCATAACGTACACCTTACCTAAAAGGACATGAGGAAGGTCTGGTTGTTTCCAGTTTCATCAACCCCGAGACAAACAACCCAGAAAGACCAGTTTTCAAAGGCGGGAACTGCCTGCTGAGGGTTTCACTTTGGGTACATGGAAACCCAACCACTAAACCCTAAGCTGGGAGCCACCAAGGCAACCAGGACCTCTCTCTTCGATTGCCGGCCGAGGAAAACTCAGGCTTGAAGTCAAACTGGAAAACTGAGTTCAAGTCGGACATCGAGTTCCGACATATGGCTGTGTCTTTCTTTGAGGCTACACTTTGTGTGGCTTTTCTTTTGTTCCCCTTAACCACTCTCCTCCAAAAAAGGAAGGTACCAGCAAACCAATTGACACACCCATCTCCTGCCTTGAGGAGCTGGTGGGCGCCCGACTCTGTCAAGTTCGGGTTGGCGCACAGGTTGTGCCCGACCGGAAGCAAAACCTGACGGGCGCCCAAAGTCTGGTTCTGTAGATTTCGCTTTTCCCCCCCGAATCAGAAAAACACATACCTGGAGTCTCCATGATGAAAAATGGGGGCATTACCCAAAGTAATGGGGTCATGGACCCATTTGTATTTCGGGTCATGGAGACTCCAGGTATCCGTCAAAGAGGAACATGAAAACTGGAGGTCGGAGGCTTTGGGGCTTGCGTCGTCAGGACCCACAAAAGAGAGGTTTGGTCAAGTAAACAGCCAAGTAAACAGCTTGGGCCCTTTGA